TTGTAAACGGTGGGTTAAACGGTTTACAATCTCCGGGTCACTGTCCTTCGATGTGTAAGGTATCTCATAATAATCAAGAATTTCTCGAGAATTGTATAATTCAGTTTGAGGAGTTTTCACTCAGTAGCATATTCACAGCATTGAAAGTGTCATAGATAATGGGGTGTTTCAAACCAATCTGCGCATGGATAGAGTTTAGAAGCTCTACTTCATCTTCAAATTCTTCCCATTCAACTCCTGCTGCCTCCTCTCCTTCTGAAGGTGCTGAATGTTTTCGAGTGGACACCAGACTGGAGAAGGAGCTTTTTATCTGGACTTTCTTTTAGCCATTCCTCCCTTGAGAATGTTACCAGTCGCTATCCCAAAGTCAAACTTTGTCATTAGATAGGCATTTACCTGCTCTGAAAAATGGACATTCCCTGAACTTGTTGCCAACACCCATCCTTCACTCAATTCTGAACAACTGCTAAACAGTAGGTCCTCTTGCTGTGTCTTTCTTTGTCTTCAAAGACTTTGGGATAGCGACTAGTAACAAACTGACTCCAAAAGAAGTTACAGAAGATATGCAACGTGCAAGAAACGAGGAAGGGGAGAGAATTTTCTCAAGGGAGGAATGGCTGAAAGAAAGCCAGATAAAAAGCTAACAGTAACACTTCACAAAAATTGAGCCTCATGTCTAATTATGTTTTCAGTTTTTCTTCCTTTCACTTTAAAAGAAAATGTGCTATTGAAAAGCTAACATATAATGGAAACAAGGCTTATGTTTCTGTATCAAAAGAATTCAGTCAACAGTTTGTATTAATGGTTAATAATTAATTATTTCAAGTCAATTCAAATATTTGCATAAATGTTCAGTTTGAGTTTTGGAAAATGGACTGTATACATATTTTTTGGGTGAAATAATTTATGTTGTCTTTCCCTAGTGAAAATAAAAAAAAGAACGTCAATCAAGGCAAAGGGAATATTATAAATGCTGCTTCCAACAGAAAAATGTTTCAATTTCGTACCATTTTTATTCTAAATCATATATTACTATACGGCCCGCACACAGTCTACAAGTCCCACAGTGGCGCATGCACAAGGTTTTCTTTCTTTATTATTATTATTACCATATGAGCGTACATGCTACATTTTTAAAGTAAATTTCACAGCAGCTATTATCCTCAAATTATTTGCTCTGTCTAACTTGTGGGCTAACATCGTATGCATATTCCGCTTCTGTGAAATGTGCAGACCTTACCACAGCTCGACCTGTGGACTACAGTGAGCAGTGTTAATTACGTTATTTGGACATCAGGACACTCCGTTCAACCACAAACCATAACATTCAAATGCTGATGCTACTCAGGGCTTTGATGGATACCACATACATGTGATCGGAAGCGTGGGGGTATAGAAAGGGTCTGTTAGACCTTCGAAGAGGGGGGTAAGGAGTCAAATTTACCCCTGTAGCCCTCCTATTTAAGGGAAAATTCCAAAAAAAGTGTCTGACTCTTCAGAATG